GAATAGCATTTTTATATTCATTTATGAAATGAATCGAACACGAATAGATATATTTTTTGTTCATTTATGTTTACAAATAAACTTCTTTAACGTTCGTTTAAAACTCGTTCATTTTTTTGGTTTGTTTATTATTCGTTTATTCTTAATTTTATAATTGTATGTATGTTTATTTACATTTTTTTGGTTATGGTTTATTTATTATTAATGAACATGTTTTTTTTATATATATATGTTTATGAACATGCTTGTTTAATGTTTATTAACGAGTTCATTTAACTTAAACGAACCGAACATAAACTGAATGCAAACATCTTATCATTTAAATGAACTGAGCTTGAATGTAATGAACAATATTTTTATCGAAACAAATAGTTCTAAAAAAATGAACAACCATGGACATACATTCATTTATTCATGTTCGATTCGTTTACTCATTTACTGTTATAGTAACCAATCTTACTGCTTTAGTAACTAATCTCACTTTTATTGTTGTTTTCAATTTTAACAAAACTAATCTCACTATCCATTCAAATAGAACCAACCGGTGGTTAATTTCAAATTTGTATTTGAAGAGGTTCATGCATTTGGGCTTAACTAGCTTTTGTAAATAGCTATTTCCTTTAGGCTCAATAAGTTGATATTAAAAGATGCCTTGATGTGCACTTGTGTTAAGGGTTGAAACTTCAGCTATAGGCTCGTACAACTCTTGGGTTTGAGAATAGGCTTGTCGACGTCCAAGATCAATCACACATTTGGATTAGTGCTCAGCTACTCGAAACTCTAGGGCTTAACTACCCAAGTTGTTGTTAAACGACATTGCACATAAGCTGTTTGAAAAAAAACTAAAGAGAAAAAGAGAGATATAAGGCAAGAGTAAGACTTGTATTACTTAAGTTTTGAAGTGTATACAATTAGGGTGGATTCTCTATTTATGGTTGAAGCCCCTTTACATCAATGATTGAGATTCATCTTATCTAATGGCTCATATAGAGTCCAAAAAGTACATAAGATTACATAAGAGTTCAAATTTAAAAGGACTTATCAAGAGAGAGTTTGAACTAGGTGGGGCTCTATTCTAAAAGGTTTCAAGTTGTTTTTAGTAATGCCTATGCCAAGCTTACCCTTTGCATCTATACTTATGCTCGTGTCTGAGGTTGTCTCAAAGTTGCTAAACTTGATCACCTAGTTTGGGCTCCTGAAGCTCTTTTCAATGATCGCACACTTTTTCTAGGTCTTGGTTCCACCCCCAAGGAACTCTGTTACACTTTTAGGCTTGCTTTTCTATACGGTCTAACTTAGTCTTACTTGAACTAGAATTCCACCTTGATTTAGAGAAAAACCCCAAGTCTGGTTCATCTCATGGATTGTGACATTCTTCCTCATTCATTCTAGGAATGTCCTCATTGCTAGGGGGATGTTGTTCTTGAACTGTAAGTCCTTATGCATGTCGATTCCATCTTCTACCTTGTGGACTAATTTTTTATCATCTTGGTCCTATACTCTAACAGATACTTTATTAGTTTTCATTATTTTTGATTTGAGTATCTTTAGCATTAACCTACAATGATCCTTTTCTCCTGTATTGTTGATGCTTTTTTCATTGCTTCAGAGTTATCCATTGCATATTCTCTTAGGAGGGATTAGGTTACTTTTTAAGATTCTTACTGTGGTGTACCACTGCCATTTGTCTCCCCTAAGCTCTTGGAGAGGTTCCTACTCTTGACAGAATCGAATAACACCTAGTCACATCACTTTAGGCTCCTTTTAGTGTTGTTCATCATTACTGTTACTCTTGCCTTTAGACAGTCCCTTTACTTGCTCGATGGTTGAAAGCTTTTTATGCTTTAGGCATTCTATGACCTGATGATGATTAGCACATAAAAAGTAACTTTTAAGCTTTCACTTCTTATCCTTGTCCATAGCAGCTTTGTTGATTTTAGCCTTACGAAATCTAGGCTTCTTCATAATCCTCTCATTGGATGAGCTATTTGTGTCTCCTACATTGTTTTCTTTATCTATAGGCTTTGGATGCCCAGTGTGCTCAAACTTAATCATCAATTTCGTAATAATAATGGCCCGATTCAGCTCCTGTATGCCTCTTCATTACAGCTTAGTCTTTACCTATGGCTTCAGACCATCCATGAAATAGAATAGAGTCTCATCCTAGCTTATACTTAGGATCATTAACAATAGGTTTGAGAACTCTTTACAATTATCTTGGACTCTTTCCCTTTGAATAAGCCTACAGAGTTCCCTTCGAGCTTTATCTTTAGCATACTTTGGCTTGAATTATTGTCTAAGATCCTTTACGAACTCATCCCATATAATGATTGCTCGTTTACCATGCCTGACATCGGCATACCTAAGGCATCACTACAATAGAGTATTATTGCTAAAATACATAGCAACTAAGCTTACCTTAGCATTATCTACTGTTTCAACCATTCAAAAGTACTATTTCATGCCTCACACAAAGTTTTTCACATCTTTGATTAAGTGATTTCTTGTAAGTGGCTTCAGCTTAAGCATTTTCACCCTGGGTCCTAAACCTGTACCAACAACCACGATAGCTTGCAATGTAGCATGATCAACCCTGAACCATTATAACTATTCTTGTAAGGTTATCATTATGGCTTCCAACGCTTTATTTGCGCTGTATGAGTATCTTAATTACCTCGTTCACACACTTTGCATCCTTTCCTTGAACTTTTTCTTTATTAAGTCTAGCTTTGTGATGTGACCATTGGTGTCCTCAAACCTGTTCTGCATATTTACAATGGGCACCTCGCACTTTTTTGTTGGGTGTCCATAGACATAAACATATCTCTTAAGCTAGCCTTTTTTCTTTACTTATAGGTTGGCGCTCCTTATGTGCCTCACTCTGGACTTCTGCCTAGTTTTCCTTAGTCATGCTATTGCCCAAAATAAATTATTAAACCATGAATGCACAAACCAAGGAATTTGCTTCAACTTTTTAATGGATTCAAGTGATCTTAGTTTTGTTTCAAGCACATCAACATTGCAATATGTTAGCACAAAACACCAATACAACATTTATGACCTACACATTCTGTCAAGCACCAATTTGCACATTTGTACTACACATCCAACAAACCCATAAAACTATAATAGCAATCTATCGAGCACCTGTTTTGCACTTCAGCATGCGCGTATACACCACACTTGGGGGCGTCACACTAGTACACGAGCACAACAACACTTTAGGATGCCCGTATCACACAGTAGAATGCTCGTATGCTTAAGTCAAAACCTCGTCTAAGGCCCACTCTAGTTTTGGTAGCAACTCAATACTGATTACCAATTTTGAACCAAGTTTTTTTGCCAACTTTGAATTAGACTTTGATACCAACTCTAGTCTTAACTAAGCTCTGATACCAACTATCATGAGTCGAGGTTTTAGTTTCAATGTTGTGCGACTCTTGGACCCGAGAATAAATTCGTTCGACGTTTAAGATTAGCCTAACACTCAAACTAGTGCTTAGCCACTCAATACTTTAGGGCCTAGTTGCCCAAGCTATTGCTAAACAACATTGCACATAAGGTGTTTGAGGAAAGACTAAAGAGATAAATATATATATATATATAAGACAAGAGTAAGACTTGTATTACTCAAATTTTGGTGTGTGTACAATGAGGGTGGGAGACCCTTTGTTTATAGCTGAGGCCCCTTACATTAATGGCTAAAATTCATCCTATCTAATGGCTCATATAAAGTTCAAAGATTACATAAAATTAAATAGGAGTTCAAATTTACAAGGACTTTATAAACAAAAAGTTTAAGCCAGGTAGGACTTTATCATGAAAGGTTTTAGGTTTGTCTTTAACCGCGCCCGTAATTGGGCCCTCCCTTAGATCTATAACTATGTCTGTAAGTGGGCTCGCACCTGTGCTTGCGGTTGGCCCTGTCTCAAAGTTGTCAAACCTGATCATCTAGTTCAAGCTCTTGAAGCCTTTTTTAGCTCCCGCACACTCTTTTTATGTCTTGGCCTTGCCCCTTAAGATCTTCGTTGTACCTTTGGGCTTGATCTCCCATGTTATTTGACTTAGTCTTGCTTGAACTAGAACCCTACCTTGACTTAGAGAGAACCTTTCATCTTGTGGACTGTGACACTTGCACCAACCATATATAAACTCATAAAAGCAAGGTGACATGAAAAAGGATAAGAAGGTACATGATTATTTTTTTTTCATGTTGTTTTTTTTTTTATGGTAAAAAAAACACTTTCAATTCTTATGAATTGATGAGATATATCAAGTTAAGGAGTAAGGATATCAATGGGTAGGGTATAGAAGTGGGTGGAATATTTTTCATCTTCATATTTAGATTTTATATTATATCTATCCACATACTTATATCTAACAGGTATTTCAAATCTATCATCATCCATCCGGGTGTTTAATAGGTATGAGTATTCCCCATATATATAACTTTTTTAAAAAATAACAACCAAAATTTATTTTTTATTTTCTTTATCTTGAATATTTATATATATTTTTAAAAATATAATTAATATATTTTTAAATAAAAATATATTAATTTTAATTAATCTAAAATAATAATTTATACTATTTAATTAAAAATTTATTTATTAAATATGTATAATATATGTAAAGTACACATATGAAACGAATATTATATTATCTATTTTTATCTCATAGCCGATAAAAATTTAAAATTATATCAATTCTCATTTTTATCTCTATACTATAATATCTATTATTGTCTTCATTCGGATAAATAGTTAATTTCCCGATGGGTATGGTAAGATTTACATCCTTATTGAAGAGGTAAAGAAAGTAGAAGCTTATGTTATATATCCAGCACCAATGGTAAAAGAAACATTACCAGAAGAGACGAGACACCCACTAATAATATCAGCTTTCCTCTTGATGTTCCAAACACGGCTGACAAAAAAAATCCTATAGACTCTTAATATTTTGTTGGTCATTCTCAGGCATTTTTTTTTTTTAATTAGGCTCTAAAACTTGATTTGACTTGCTAATGCCAAGCAGTTGCTAGCCATGTGACGGAAGTGTTCATTAGTAGCAGCAAGACGAGACCCAGCTTTACCGGCTTCATCATCGCGTGTCACATAATCAGCAACCACTGCGCTGAGGTTGCTCATAAGGCTGCTAGGGTTCTTTTGGTTGATGTTGTCCAGGGATTTCTTCAGGTTGTCAATGGCATCGTCGTAACTGGTAAGGCAGTCATCAAGTTCAGGACTTTTCCAAGCTTGGCAGCTGATGCCTTTGCTTCGTTAGTTTGATCAATCATGCTTTAATAGAAATTCCAGAAGCAAGTTTTGGGTCATGCACTGTTCCCTTTACAACTGCCCTGTAAAGCTGTGGGTAGTCTGTCTTGCGACACAAGCCACCATCAAGAATGCGAGCTGTGGCCTGACAAGAAAGGATGAAAGTGGCCGTGGCGAGAAGGACCAAGGAGAAAGAAGTGAAATGCTTGATAGACATGAATCTGATCCTTGAATTGGCTCTAACAAATGCTTTTGATTTTGTTTTATATTTGGGTTCTTCCTCTTTGGTCTTTTCCCCAGGTTAATGTCAGGATCTTGTCTGTAAATGGTAGGATGATTCGGTATATTATAGTATATATGTAGATTGTAGGAGTTCTAAAGCTGCTAGGAACTTGCCTATTTCTGGTGCTTCTCTGTTGTTTGATTATTTTCTATGTTCCAAAATTAATGCTTGGCTGACAATTGCCGTGTACAGCTATTTTTATTGCTATGGTACTCTGGTTACCCTTAATTATCGTAGAAGCTTCTTATATTGGTATTCTGAGATTGATTTAGGCCTAGTTTAGTGAGGTTGTAAATAATTTTTGTATTCAAAAGTTGTTTTAAATTCAATCTCAACCTTAAATAAATAAAAAAAAATTATATTTGATGTAATGTTATAAACTTTATATATTGTCAATGAATTGATTGATTTTATCTCATTATTGAAGTAAATAAATTATACCACCTTAATAAGTAAATTTTTTAAAAAATATTAATTTTTATTCATTTATTTTAAATACTGATATTTACTTATTAATGAGATGATATCATTTCATTTATTAACAAGGTATAAAGTTTACATACGGACTATGTATCAAATATAAATTCATAAAAAAATATGATTTTTGAGTTTGAAAGTATGAGTTTTCAAACACAAATAAAAAATTTGTTTAAAAATGCTTTTACAGTGAAAAAAAAGTGTCTAGGATAAAAATTTACAATATTATCTTTATATTTATTATATTTTATTATTTTATACATGAATTTTAAATATTGCAATTACTCATAATATTTTTTCATAATAATATTAAACATTCAAAAGTTTTAATCACATTTTTATTAACAAACTTTTTAAATACATTTTTTTTCAATCCAATATATTTTTAACCATAACAAAATTATTAAACTAATCCTTATCTCCTATGAGGACGTTCAGACTGCCCAATGCCGAAATGGTTGCAAAGGATGATTTGGTCTCATAAAAGTGCATTAAAAATTAATAATAAAGTTCTTTTGTATCAATTTGTCTTCTTTTATATGGGTTGGTGGGGAATAATTATAGAGTTTATATTTGATATATTATTAGTATATAAATTTTATACATTAGTAGTAAATTAAATAATATTATTTTATTAATAAATAAATATTAATTTTTAAAATAAATATATAAAAATTAATATTTTTTAAAAAACTTACTTATTAATAAAATAATATTATCTTATTCACTTCATTAACGAAATGACATCATTTTACAATGTATAAAATTTTTATATTGACAATGTATCAAATATAAATTCATAATTATATGCATCTATCTAAAAAAAGTAAGAGAAGATATGACTATAAAAGAGTACCAACGGCAAAATAATTGCGGATCATTACAATGCTCTATTTTCAATTTAAAATTTTCAATAATATATTTATAAGAGTCGAAATCAAGTTGTTCTTGTTTCGCCTTTGCAGAGGTAGAAGATGAGGGTTTGTCATCGTTCATCATAATATTACCATAGTAAAGTGGTCCAAAATCCGTAGATGTTTCAGGGGGAACATGCTTTTGGTCCATCTTTTCTACAAGCATATCTACTTTATCTTCTATATTATCAATTTTTACAAAAAGTTTATGAAAGAAAAAAGAAGTTAAATCTATTAAACCATTTACAGTTCTACTTATACTAATATTACTAGATTCATACTTAGGATCTATATGCAAGTCATGATTATAAGACTTATCTTGACAAATACAAGAATTTTCTTCATAAGTTTCCATGTTTCTGATGCTTAAAATCGTTGTGCTGTTCTGAAAAGCTAGCAACAAAAGGCAACTTAGGCCACAAAAGCCAGCTATCCACTCAGATATGCACGTATGAGCTTTGAAACAAAGAGCTTATGCAGAAGATGCAAGTAAGAGTAAAGAAAATCTTACAAAAGTGCAAACATATTTCAAATTGCAAAATAATAATAATAATAATAATAAAAAAGATGCAATCAGAACTCGAATATTGGGGTATCGAGGAAGAGGTTCCATGGTTTTCAACCCAATTAATCCTACACACCTTGCCTTGCAAACGGTTCTGCTGCCACCAGGCTAAGTAATATTGAAGGCCTCACATTGCACGACCTAACCATGTAAAGCTTCTAATATAACTCTTCTTGAAGGACTTATGTGCTGTATTATTTACAAATATTTAATTTGTTTGGAAAGATCTTGAGCCTGCCTGCATCTTATTACACCATGCAAGTGAACATTTCTTTTCAAGGGTAGAATGCTTGTGGACCTGATTTTCACATATCCTTCCTCCCATCCAAATGCACCTTACTTTGTTAAAGGTAATTACTCTGTAAATATATTATGTTCAAACTCTCTTGTTTTATAATCCAAAATCAAATGTTAATTAAATCTTTTAATTGCCGAATTCTTCGCAATTTGAGACTTATAACATTTGAAATACATTTTAAATCAGGTCAATTGAAAGATTTTTCATCGTTTTTCAAAGATCATGGCCATCCAATTTGGTTTTGAATTTCACAATTTTAGTGCTCAACTTATGAGAACTGATTATGAGCATGATGGCTTCTATAGTATACGATTAAAATATGTTTTTACATATTAAAATTGTAAAACAACTGCTCTCAAAATACATTTGCATGCGCAAACATCTTATAAAGTTGCACAAAATAATTAATGGACGGATCTTTTAAGTCCCTCCCTCTCGTTACATATATAATATGCTCAACAATCAGAACAACGAGCTACAATATCATTTGAGTTTCTTTTCATCGTTCACATCATCTTGTATTAATTCAGAATTTAATTATAGTTAGCTTGCTTTGATGAGAATTCCAAGCACCTGGAACCCAAAGATTTCAGGGCTGCGTTATTGGGGATAAAAGGAGACGGCCTGGTGGATTGTGCAAAAGAGTAATCACAGTTATCATACGCATGCAATGCCGCCAGGATGACGGCTTTGAGGTCTCCGGTGTCTTTGCCAGTGCCCTTAACTAGACCCACGGCCTTGTTCAGGCTGTCCAATGCAGACGAATAGGCCTTATCGCAGTCCTGAACCATCTTGCTGTTCCCAAGGACCGGAACCTTGGCCTTTGCGCGCTGTGTACCACTGATCATCTCGTTTAGAACCATTTCAAGAGTTGGATTCGTTGCTCCATCAACTTTAGACTCTAGGAGTTCACGTCGAGCGGTGGCTTGACCAGCCAGGAGAATCATGGCCACTGCAAGAAAGGCCAATGAGAAAGAGATTTGCTGCTTGTTAGCCATGTTTCTGAACCTGGTTTTTTCCGGACGCCTTTGGAATTCTGCAATTGTAACAGAGGGCTGAATGGGATTTATTTAGGAAATGTCATCGAAAGGGAAAAAAATAGTACAAAAAACCAGAGGTCATGAATCTGTCAAGGGGTTGCCTGTTTTGGATATATCTTTGCGGTTTGCTAAGTGTCCTCTAATTTTCTAAATTTGAAACAGGATCAAATTCAAATGTTTGACTCACAACAAATAAACGTAGCCCTTTAAATAACCGTAGGGCTCGCCATTGTTTTAGCTGATGCTCTCTCGGGTATCGGCATAATGTTTCCACTTGCCTCTGATCTCTTCGTTCACAATTCATATTCTCGGAATTCCTTCACGATTAATTTGAGTGAAACTCGGCACAATTGTTTCATTTTCTCTATCATCCCAACTGTGAATATTTTAATCACGAAAACACTCTATCGCTGGCAAAGTCAAACATGGAGGAGAAAAAATAGTAAAGAAGTTCGAGGCAGAAAACGTTTATATTAATAATTTTTTATTAAATTAAAATATTAACTAATTTTTCTTTATTTCTTTATTAATATTGAAGTCTTTAATTATTAAAGTAAAATTTTCTTAGATGATAATTTTTTAAAAATTAAACATAGACTAATTTTTATGTATCTATTTTTTATTAGTCTAGAACTTTTTATTAAAGTAAAATATTTTAAATAAAATTTAAATTTATTTACTATATAAAAAACTAGAAGATGTATGGTATTAAATCATGAAAGATTTCATTAAAAAAAAAATCATGAAAGAGCTCAAACAAATAATTTTTACGTACCTCGAAACAAAGGATACATTGTGATTGTAGTATAGAAATATTTTTTTAATAAAAAATCAAAGCAGAATCTAACCAAATGAAAGAATGCAACTCCCTCAGTTCTTGGAAAAGGCTTTGCAAACTCCCAAATCCCAAGTAATGCTTCATTGAACTTGTTCCTCAACATCTGTATCACTTTGACATGAAATCCTTTTGAGTTCAGACCACCAACCAACAAGATTAATCAATTTCAAACACAATAGTTGCCATTACTTAATACACAAACATTTGTTTGAAGTGGACCGACAGATCCAAGTTGTAAGAAAAGAGGAATTCCAGTTGTTAGACTTACAGGCTCTATATAATTTCAGCTATAGGACACCGTTTACTCTCAACCTTTCTCCTGCAAAGGAGGAAGAAAAGCATGCGTTAAAGAAAGCTTTTAATCTCTAAAATTCGTTTATAGATTCTTCTATTGTTTCACCCCTTATTAATATGGAAGTGCAGGGTACCGCACTAGAATCACACCCTCCAAAATTCACTCTTCTGGTGGACTCGGAACACAAGGCAACAGAGTTTAGGCTATTTTCAGTGGTAGCACCTCACATGAGAGCATTTCATCTCGCATGGATTACCTTCTCTTGTTTTCTATATACTTTTGCTGCTCCTCCACTGCTTCCTTTTATACGAGATAACCTCAACGTCACATCAACATACACAGGCAATGCAGGGATTGCTGCAGTCTCTGGTGCAGTCTTTGCCAGACTTGCCATGGGGACTGCTTCTAACCTATTTGGTCCCCATCTTCATCTTGCCTCTTCCTCGTTAATCCTCCTAACAACACCAGTCTTACTTCATTTGCATTGCGTCATCACCTGTTTCTTTCCTTCT